TATGTGATTGGTCAGATCAGTAAATGAACCCTATTGATTTTGGGGGTCCAAAGGGTCAAGGTCACATTGACTTTGTAAGGTAAAAAGGTTTTCCGATCAATAACTTAAAAGAACGCTTAGGCCTAGGAACTTCAAACTTGGTAATTTGGGATTGGTAGTTTTAACCAGCAGACAGAACCTATTGAATTTCTGGGGTCAAGGGGTCCAAAGGTCCAAGGTCACATTGACCTTGTTAGGTAAAAACGGTTTCCGGATCAAAATTAAACTAAAAAACGGTCTTAGGCCTAGGAACTTCAAAACTTTGTAATGAGATTGGTCGTGACCAGCAGATGACCCCTATTTGAGTTTTTTGGGTCCAATGGGTTTCAAAGGTCAAGGTCAACATTGACCTTGTAAGTAAAAAACGGTTTTTCTGATTCAATAACTTAAGAAGCTTAGGGCCTAGGAACTTCAAACTTGGTATGGTGATTTTTCATGACCTAGGCAGATTACCCCTATTATTTTGGGGGAATCAAGGGGGGAGGGTCAAAGGTCAAGGGGTCACAATGACCTTTTGTAAGTTAAAAAACGGTTTCTGATCAATAACTTAAAGAAAGGCTTCGGCCTAGGAACTTCCAAACTTGGCATGGTGATTGGTCATGAACCAGCAAGAGGACCCAATTGATTTTGGGGGTCAAAGGTCAAGGTCACATTGAACCTGTATGTTAAAATGGTTTCGGATCATTAATAAATGAACCCCGTTAGACCTAGGGAACATCAAACTTGGCATGGTGATTGGTCAATGACCAGCAGATGAACCCCTATTGATTTTTGCGGTCAAAGGTCAAGGTCCACATTGAAACCTTGGGTAGGTAAAAAACGGTTTTGATCAATTTTAACTAAAAACGCTTAGGCCTTGGAACTTTCAAACTTCTGGTCTGATGATTTGGTCGTGACCAAAGCAGATGACCCCTATTGAGTTTTTGGTCAAAGGGTGCAAAAAGGTCAAGGTCATCGACCAAAGAAAGATAACTTGATAACCCTTATTAAAATTGTTTGATCAACTTGGTTCAGAAGTCATGCATAAGTAAACCTTATCACATGAATAATTGGCTGCTGATAGGGGGCATACATGTTTTTACAAACATAATCTTGTTTTATTTTGAGTCACAAATTTTAAATACCCTTGTTTGAAAAAACAGGGCGTATTATAGTTTCCACCTGGCAGGCTGTCTGGTTGGTAGGCAGCGTCCAATATTTTGTCTGGAGCATATGTCATACACTCATGGAGGAATTTTAATGAAACTTCATAGAAATGTAACCCACTATGAGAAGCTGTGTCCCGCACATGAACCAGGTCTCTAGGTCACAGTTAAAGGGCATTGAAAAACACTTGTCCAGATAGCGGGATTTCAATATAACTTATGACACAAATGTTAACCATTGTGAGGGGGAGTGTCACTTGCAAAATCTAGGTCCCTGCGATCAAGGTTACACATAGGGGTCAAAGTTCAGATAAAAATTTGAAAATGTGTATTCAGACCATTTACGTCACATTATTGAGGGATGAAAAGGAATGTCAAATGATGTGACTACTGGTGTGTAATATGAGATTAAGGTTAATATCTGCAAAATTCAAGGTCACTAAAGATTATGGTCAAGGTCACTAAAGATATAGAATTATAAAGATTTGCAGAGCATATCTCACACACATGGAGGAATTTTAATGGAACTTCAAGTAGAAATTTTCACCACAATGAGAAGCTGTGTTGTGCAGCATAACAGAAGCCCCCTTTTCCTTAGGTCAAAGGTCAAGGTCACACTAGAGGTCATTTAAAAACACTTTGTCGGCAGCAAAAAACTTCTACATGACGTAAGAGGGATTTTAATATAACTGGACACAGAATGTTCACCAAGTTAAGGGGGAGTGCCACAATGAAAATCTAGGTCCCTGCGGCCACGGTCAAAGGTCACACATAGGGATCAAAGTTCAGATAAAAAATGAAAATGTGTATTTGGACGCATTTAGTCATCATTTATTTGGAGGGACTGATAACACAAAATGTCATTATCAACTACTGGTGTGAACAATGTAATGTATGGGGTTAATGGTATGCCAAGTTCAATGTCACTAAAGATGATAGTAATAGGTCACTAAGAGCTGATAAAATATAGAGATTTTTGTCCAGAGCATATTTCCTACACATATATGGTTGGGATTTCTAATGAAACTTCATAAGAAATGTTCACCACATGAGAAGCAGTTCACATGCATGAACCAGGTCTCTATGTTAAAGTTAAGGTCACACTAGAAGGTCCTTGAAATTGTGTGTTTTTTTTTATTGCTTGTTCTAGCATCCTCCGGGGATTTAATGTATTTTGGCAAAAATGTTCACCATGGAGGCTTATTGTGCACATAATCCCAGGTCCCTGCTTAACAAAGTCAAGGCCAACTTAGAGAGTCAAATTTAGTCATCATTTAATTGGTGGATTGTAACACAAATGAAAACTATCATGACTATAAGTGTGACACATGTAATTAAGGTTAGTATTTTCAAGGTCATTGTCACTAAGAAGGAATAAATAAAATATCGAGAATATTTTCCAGATTATTGCACAGAGCATATCTCCTCATGCGTATTTTTATTATGCCCACATCTCTGTCAAAAGCTTTTGTGACGGGCGTATTTTGCCAACAATTTTGCTCTTGTTCAAAATAAATAAACAATTTCAAGTAAAAAGATATAGAGGATATTTTGTTCAGTTCTGTGTAGATCGGAATATATTTCACCAAGTGGAGACACCAAAAGGTATATTCACGAGTGGCACAAGCCACAAGTGAAAAATGAACTTTCGGTGTTCACAAGGTGAAAATATAAATTTCGACTAAACATTAAAGTAAACAAATTTTCTTTTTATTATATGCAAAGAAACGTTTAAAAAAGACATTTTTACAACAAGTACTAAATGAAAAGGGTGCCAAATAATAATACAATATCAAATTGATAATTTCACATGTTTAAAAACAAGAAATTATTCAGTTTTTATTTCACTGATATATTTCCTATGAACCACCGAAAAGCATGTAAAAGTGGATTATTGGTTACTGTAGGCTTAGTTATTTGTAATTGAAATGCCCATGTGTGCCGTGTGGTTAAGATTGATGACACTTATCAGAATCTTCTTACTACTGCTGTTGGACTGAAATACCACTAAGATCTTAGATTCAATTCTAGCTAGCTTTACAGGTCAGTGATTCTTCCTTTGGATGTTTTTCTTGTGCTTTAAAGTAATGTGAGATCTTTATCCTCTAGTAAAGCTCTTAGATTGAAAGAGCCCCTATGAAACCATAAACAATGCTATTAATGAAACTTAAAATTCAACAAACAAACAAATATTCAGATTAAATCTTTGCATGTATGATTTCAGGATTTATTGTCATACCAAATCCCATTGAGCCTAAGTATCAACGTTATTGGATTTGAGAGGTCCTTCTGGACTTCCAAATGAGCCAAATCGACAAATTTAGATGCTCACATGGTTGCCGACCCTCACAAGTTTGGCAATCACTGTGTTTACTGATGACAGGTAGAAGAAATACATGTACTTTTTAGTGGAAATTTGAGTGTCTTCTTTGGAGTATAAGAGCATGAAATCACAACAGTTTGGATGGTTGTTATTTAGCTAATAGTTTGTATATATTTCTAGAAAAGTCAATCAGCCTCAGATAAAGCTAGGTACAGGTGCCAATTAATGAAAAGCATAAAAGATATATTTAGCTCATGATAACCAAAAAAAATCCCTTGAACCTAAAGTCAGTTGGCATTTAATGCTTTATAGGTCCTTTGTATTTTGGATCTACCCCCAGGCAAAGAGTTAAATATAAGTATTTGTATATTAAAGTTTAATAATAAAATGTATTAGATGGATTCGCTGCTAACAGGTAGTTTATAATTCTATAGTCTGTAATTTTACAGAATTATTTTTTATATGATGGAATATATGGTGTAATATTTACAGGCCAGACCTGGGAAAAAAGACAGTTTACATGATGAAACTTAGATGGGCTACACTTGGCTATCAGTATGATGGAATACTAAGGGTGAGATACAACTTCAGCTCCTATCTTAATCAGGTATAACAAGATTGTCTTACAAAGTATAGGACAAAAAATCATACACTTAATACTAATTAATCATAAATGAAATAATGCCAATAGTGCATATTTTTAAAGAAAAAAAAAATTGTCTGAAATTTATGATTTTCATATGTCTTGGGTATAGACAATTTTGTATATAAACCGAGTTAGAACATACCCAACTTGTATGTACCTTATATAGACAGTTCAGACAATATTTCAGATGTACCAATATTGTTTTGCAAAGCATTTGAATATTGATATCAGCATTTTGCGACTTCAGTAAGGTTATCTAAATTTACTATTTTTCAAATTTACGTAACCTTAAGGTCTCAAAGGGCTGTTTAGTTCTTTAACAAAATTATGCTGTATTGTTTAGTTGCTGTATGTTAAGTTGTTTTTGATGTTTGTCTCTTTTGCTGTTATTTTTCAAAATATTTGATGGACAGCTTGTTACAAAATGATTAAAATCATACAATAACCTTTCAAGCTTATACCATATTTCTGTACAACTTGTTTCAATTGCTAAATTGATTTTGGCTATTTTCTAAGAATATAATCACAATTTAGCTTTTCTTTACAAAGTTGCTTTAGTGAAAGAAGTTTTTGTAGTATATACTCATATGAATTGTAATCATATGATTGCTTTTGATATCCCCTCGATATTTTAGATAATAATTAATTATTTTTTGCTCTATCCTGTTGCAGTCAAAGAAAGAATTCATAAATAGATATTTGCGATTATACATGTACTGGTATTTAATTACAACATTTAATTGTCTTGGATGTATGTAGCAGTTTCGGAAAGATGTTATATAATTACCAATTCCATTCCATTGCAATTTATAGCTTTCACACAAAGAAAATGTATTAAAATTTGTGTAATAAAATAAATATTTTAATGAATATTTTACAGGAATATTTTGCTGACCGTATCCAGGCATTTCCAGATGATCTGCGACATATATGTACTTATATTGCTGCAGTGTTGGGCTATGATGCTTACTCATCAGAGGCTGGTATAGTCAATTATTATCGTATGGAGTCAACATTGATGGGTCATACAGATGTGTCCGAGCTTGACAAGGCTGCACCACTCATATCCTTCAGGTAAAGCAAATAAGAGGAGCGATGGCAGAGAGATTTCCCGGTAAAATATCTGCCTCTCAACTGGTATCATAGGTTTAATCCTTACTCGGGTCACAAGCATATTTCCTTATTGTACACCAGTTCTGGAAAGTACTGGGACTGGAGGTTATAAAACTTTTTCCAAATGGAGGTTATAAAACTTTTTCCAAAATTCTGTCTTAAATCTCAGGATTTTCATTGGTCAGTGTACATTTTGTGGCAGTTTCTGACTAATCAAATTCTTTCTTTATAACCTTGGACCCAGGAAACAGATTTGTGAGTGGTTCAAAATTAGACTATTAGCTTTACACAATAAAGCATAAAACTAAAGGATAAAAAGGCAAGGTTATAGTTATTATATAAGATGATAAAGTACATGTATATTGAAGTTAGATGTATGAAATTTTTTAAACTCATTTTTAATCATGCCAATCTTTTTGCATCATCATGTATTTGTGTTTGGGATGTCCACTTATTAAAAAGCTTTTAGGAAATTTCAAGGTAGCATAATGATAATCACTATAATTAAAGTTTTTCCTACAGGTGTTCTTGTTTCTAGTAGTGACTTTATTAGAGATAAGTGTTTTGTTAATTTCACTTATATCACTTAATATTATCATATTTTCAAGCACTTGGGAAATTGGAATATGCTGACAGGAGACTGGTCTTGTATTGTTGTTAATAAGTCATTTTTTGATGATTTTTTGTGTAATATATTTCAGTTTTGGCTCGTCCTGTATATTCTTGATAGGAGGCCCTACCAAGGAGACAGAGCCGATTCCTTTATTTCTAAACAGTGGGGATATCTGTTTGATGACAGGCAAGGCTAGACTCAGTTACCATGCCGTTCCTAGAATTCTTCCTGGAAAGAAAGAACATTTAAGATCCTGTTTCTTCGGCAATACTGAAACTAATACTGTTATCAATACTAGTCAGTCAGAAATCGAAGACAAAAATAATTCATTTTGTCAAAAAGAGGATTCGGATATTGAAGATGATCCATACAGTGGAGGAACCAATCAGAAACCACCATCTATAAATATCGTCCAATCAGAAATGACAAAATCTGATGAAAATGTGATAGTGACTCCTACAGTAAAAGGAAATAATTGTTCTATTAAAGAACTTGGTACTTTAATGAAATCAGTTATAGAGAAAACTAATTGGGAACCTTTTGACATGTATATAGAAAGGTCAAGGATAAATGTCAATGTAAGACAAGTATTAAAACAGGGACTATCTCTGGGTGTAAGTCCAGAGAAAATAACACCATGTCAAAAGTCATGTCAGAAATCGTAACAAAAATTCTTTGAATTTTGTAACCAATATTTGCAAATGCTCTTACCATTTCATAGGGTGGTTGGGAAAATGGGACAAATTGCTGCAGTGACATTTTGTTGTAAATCTGTATCAACATGGGTATGTGATTTGTTCTACAAGGTCATTTATTAGTCCCCTACTGGTTTAACCGGAGGGGACTTTAGGTTTACCCTCCGTCCGTCTGTCTGTCCGTCTGTCTGTCCGTCAGTCCACAAAACTGGATCCCGCGATAACACAAAAAGTACTGAAAATATTTTTATGAAACTTGATATATGGATAGATGGCAGTATGGAGATTATGCACGTCTTTTTCTTTTGTTCCTATGTTGAAAATGCTTGTTGCTATGGCAACAAATAGTCTGAAAATATGGCAAATTAAACACATAAACTGGATCCAGTGATATCTCAAAAAGTACTGAAAATATTTTTATGAAACTTGAAATATAGGTAGATGGCAGTCTGGAGATTATGCACATCTTTTTCTTTTCTGCTTATGTTGAAAATTCTGGTTGCTATGGCAACAAATAGCCTGAATTTCAAGATTTCTGATTTAAATTTTTCAGCTTTTTCACTATAAGTTCTTTATTTCTTAAGGTGTTTACTTCAAACTTTAAAAATAAGTTTCTGGTCATCAACCACATCATATGTGACAAGGTTTACAACTCTAGCACAAAAATTATCAGTATTACCTCCCTTGAACTTAGAATTTTTATGAAAAAAATGTTATCTTTTTTAAATAACTTCTTTATTTCCTAATGTATCTACTTCAAACTTCATATATATGTTTCTTATTATCACTCAACATTTTTGAGAAGGTTAAATACTCTAGCAAGACTATTTCCAGAATTATGTCCCCCTTGAACTTAGATTTTTTTCGAGAAATTGGTATTTTTTACTCCAACTTCTTCATTCCTTATAAGATTTACTTTAAAATCCCACATCATAATAATATAACAAGGTTGTATAAACATAATTTCCTTACAAGGCAGGGAAACTTAACACATTACTGTGATATAGACAAACTTAGAACTCAAAAGATTTAAGTTCATTCATGTCATTCATTCACTGGTAAAATTGAATGGCCAAATTGGCCCATCAGAATGTTGCTGGGGTTCTAACCGGTAGGGGACTTATGGATTGCTTGTAATACTATGATAATTGCTTGTTATTGTGAAAATATTTTGAAGCAGAAATGAACATATCTTTCAAAGTATACAGTTGGTCCATTTTCAAATAAACGTCATGTCTTTTCACTTCAGAATTGGTTTACTTGACCATCAAAATGTGCAATTTCTTGCACAATGGCTGGCATTCCATTCGCATATCACTGTCTTGTAGACTTTTGTAACAGTAATGAAAATCATGCACCAGGGGCCAATATTAGCTCACCCATGGGTCAATTACTTTTTATAAACTTAATATAAGTCTTCTTGTGTAAAAACTAAAATGCTAAGATATTTAGCGTGTATCAGTGCCACATGCCAAATTATTATTAAGCTCTTGTCAATGGCAAGAGCTGAATAATTATTTGGCATGTGGCAATATAGATCTCTGCAAAAGTTACATGAATCAGTCATGTACCTAGCGTGATGTCAGGTCCCTAGGGTATACTTAGTATCATAAGGACTTGTTTGGTACAAGTTTAATGAAGAATGGATCTCTTCCTAATAGTAATAAAATGCCAATTTAAAAAAAGAAATTACTTAAATTATTTGGGCTTATATTGCCCTGCCTTTCTGGTGCTATTGTATATATTTTAATTTAAGATTTTTATTTCGATAATTATCCTCTTCTTATTTTTAATTTTCTGTTACATTATGTCATACCTGTCTGTGTGAATTTAGAAATCTATATGTTTTACTTTAAACTTGGCATGTATTCATATAGTTAGAATATGATAACAGAAATATTTTAAGCGGAACAAACCGGGGTCACCGTTCTCGTTTTTGAGTTATCTGTCTGTCCTTGATCTGTTAAATTCAAGGGCAGATAATTTACAATGAAGGGAATTAATACAATTTTTTTTCTTATTTTCACGAAGCTTACCTTCGTTTTAGTTGTCATTCTTAATTTTCATGACACAGCTTAAATGACCAAGCCCTAGACACTGGGAATCAGTATTCTTTCTGCTTTTATATTGTCCAACAAATCCAGGGTCCAGCAGTCCTGAGTTTGATCCTCCACTTCTCTGATCCCCACTACTCCAGCTTAAATTACTAAGGACTCTTTCTGATATCTCATTTAATGGCTGTTTTAAAACATACACATTAAAGAACCGAGAATGGAGGTATCTGTATACAGTTCCACCATACTTTAAAAAAAAAATATGGATGTATGTCATAAAAATTAGGGTTTTGTCTCTGTATGGAATACGAACATATTTAATGATGCCTAGCTAATTTGTAGGATATAACTATAGTATAGTGTAACTCGAACTGTTTCAATGCAGTGTTTTGTTGTTGTATTTCCCCCAAAAATACATCTTTAGAACAACCCTTGAAATCAAAGAGAGACAACTCCTACCTAATAATTCCACTGGAGATGTTATATTTTTACAAAATACTCCTTATGTATCACATACCTCAAATTCCGAATATAATTTAAGGTTTTAATACCAAGCGATGACATTTAAAAAAAAGAATATATCTGACATACAAAAAGAGTTCAAAGTTAATTGAATATATTCATTGTGATTAAAATTTTAACTGCTAGAAAAATCAAACTATCAACAAAATGAGTTAAGAATTTCTGAGGTCACGCGTGTGCAGTTAATCACATGTAATTTACATGTATATCTTATGGAAAAAAATGTTTTCAGCAACGTGTGTGCGTGCGCGTGAGTGTATGTGAACGGTTGATGACGTTCTCAAATTTTGAAGACATTCAAACTTAAAAATACCCTATATCTTTGTGGTATGGTTTGAAATATTTAATGATAGCGAAATGTTGACGTTTACGCATCGTATCTTAAAACATGATTTATAATCATGAGAAAATGTGTTTGTGACATTTTTAAAAAATGCCGCATCTCATCGGAAAGTGTGGTTATTTTCAGTCAAAATTCAAGTAAAGTAAAGCTTGCATTTGTTTGCATGCTCCTTTAGATGTTGGCTGTGAATCCATAACATTGATTTACTCGAACACAGTTGGGATATGTTTAAAAAAGATGAAATATTTACCGTTCGTCAATTGTGTTTTTACACCGACATGTATATATTAGTACGGCTGTCGACGAATGAACGATTGTCTGTCCATTTGATTGTACTGTGTGGTGATTGCAATGTTCAGTTAAAGGTTCGAGTAAGCACGTCTAGTACGAGCTGCGAGAATAAACATGAGCTTCTTGGCTCAGTCTGCAAGGACAGGAGATAGTTCAGCTAATTATAAGTCACGCTCGATTTAAGATACAGAGGGTATTGAATGAGTGTAAGTTAAATACTGAATTTATTGAAAAAGTTGAATAAAATTATGTTATGCGAGCCTCTGGCGAGCATAATAAATTATAATATACATATAGAATAATTTGACAAAAATAACTGAAAGTCATTGTTCATTTGTAATGTTACACAAACTGTAAACCCTGATGTTGATGAAATCGTGTTTTGTAGCCGTTAAAATAAAAAAAAAATAATGATGATTTTATATTTGTGCACTGTCTCTAGCGCTGTTTGCAATTACCTTATTTCATCATCAGGCGTTTTGATTGAACATGTCGCCGTCATTTTTAAGTATAAAGTATGCACGTATGTTTCGATGTTTAGTGTTTGAAATTATTTTGTGTCCAAATGGATTGTAGTATTTCATATGAATCTTAACACATTCACTTTGATAAATCTGCAAAATCGACTGCTTATAAAAATAATTTAAAACACTAAATTGGTTAGTTTTTATTAGGAAGCATTTACCAAATTATATCGGTCGAACACCTGCGTCGTTCTTGTCTAATTTAATTTTTAAAAGCTTACCTATAATTCATTCGGACGTAGGGCGATTTTAACCTTAATTGGATTACGTTTGGAAAAAACCGTTTTGTAAACATGTTATAACTATTTAAGTACATTTGTAGTACTAAATCAAATAACAAAGTTAAACCTTCGACTTAATTATGTCCAAGAAGTATTAACAATATTGTCTCAATGAGAAATATATCAAAAGGAATACTGGCACGGATGAAGGAATACGGCGGAAAAAGTATGACCGGCTAGCATCCAAGTAACTCAGCATATAAGTATTTCAAAGTCATTACTTTCTAATGTGCCCCGCAGATGCCTTAGAGCACAGCCAATATGGCCCGTATAAAGGAAAGCATTCGTGCAACATCGTGAAATATATAACACAAAACGTAACAGTATATGTGAGAAGATATTGAAGGGGGAGGGGGGTACTTTATATTGCCAATATATATCAATGTCATCCGATTTAATCATGAATCAGATTTTTATTACATATTTAGAGAGAAAGAAAAACACTTATTACTTCATGTATGTTATCAACTGGTCTTTTCACAATCGGAAATACGCTAACGAATTAGACTCCGATGTCAAAGACTTTTGTTAAACCAGACTGCAATGATGGCGGGTTATAGCTCTTATTAAAATATGTTTACTTTATACGTTTACCCTAATGTCATTAATACATTAATCCCATATCCCAAGTTTGTCTTGCAATTGTGTTTATGATTTCACATGCGGCTTTGTAGTTAACGTGATTTGAAAGACCTAAAAGGTTAGATATGGATTAACTACTTAGTAAACAATGTTGCAATGCGTAATATAATCTCAGAAGGTGGTATAATACATTATAATAATGGACGATAATGAAGGCGAGTGTTTTGATATCAGTTTTATAAAAGCAAGAGCAAAAAACATTGTGGAGAGTAATATTTTGTGTAAACAGCTTAAAGGAATAGATAGACAGTGCAGAAGAAGTGTTAGTAGAATAGAAAGTGAACTTCGCGAAGAAAAACGGTTTGCCAATAGACTCATAAGGGATAAAAAGAACTATATTATAACAGATAAAGACAGGAGAGATAAAGCTATTGAGAAAATGGAGAAACATCGAAAGTCAGGTCTGGGGAAACCTTTGAAATATGTCTGGGATGACGCAGACGCAACAAACAGAGAAGACCATGATCACGACGAGGATATGTCTGTACTGGGGCAGGGAATGAAAAAGGAAGCTCCCTGCCAACCTAAGATGTATTTTTGGTCCCAAGATTCGTCAACTAAGTTACCAGTCTTAACTAGTTTCTATGGATACAGACTGAGTTTACAGAGATCGATGACAGAGGTAAAACTACTCGGTCAGCAGATGTATCCTGAGGTAGTGCGGGAAACTCAGTCAGCTGATCCTTATTTCTACAGGTCTTCCGGCGTTTCAGATAAGCGCCGAGTGAAAACTAGTACCACGGCTGACGGATTATTTGATGAAGATTTCTGCTACGAGGCTTTAAAACGTGCCCCTCCTCCTTCGCGAGAGAATACTAATTTAAGTGAAGTAAGAACTGTTAGTGGACTACATACAAGGAATAATAGTTCTCTGAACGCTCATGATGTGCGAACTAGAGCTAATACATCGACAAATGATACAAAAAGAAATGAGACCATAACTAGTGAAACTAGTGCGGAAGAACTTGAAGAAGTTAAAATAAAAGAGTTAGATACCGATGTAAAGGAAAAGTTGTCTACTAATGACAAAATACAACAATCATTCCCGAAGGTAAAAAATTCTCGGTTGGAAAAAACCTCACCGGAATATATAAGTCTCGACTTAAAGCAATCGGATGAGAATTTACCCCAACTTAGCCAGCGTTCAGTGGGGGCAACGAAGGGAACTCTAAGGCCGCCAACAAGAAGGAGATATAATAAGGTGAATATAAAGACAAGAGCCGAAGCAACAAAACAATACCAGGCTGTGACAATGAAAAAAACTATAGAAAAACCAAAAGTTCTAACAGAGTTGGAACAAACATACAGTCATATACCAAGTTTAATGAACGAAATCAACAAGATGCAGACGACAATTGAGCTCATGCCAAAAGCTAAAACAGGACACTATTCAAAGTCTGCTTTTGGAATAAGTATGCAGAGTGCTATTTCAAAGAAAGTGCTAAATAACTTAGCATTACCTGCCGCGTTTAGAAAAAATAATAACACAATGTTAAAACATTACGGAGCACCTTTTATGGAAGTTAGAGCTACAAAGATGGAACCTGTTCCAGCAAAATGAGTGGTTAACTGTAAAAATAAAGTTTTATTGTCGGAACTTGTTTCACAGAATTAGTGCTGTCATATTTGTCAATAACTATGATTGAAATATTTTCTCCGTGTAGTGATATTAACTTACTTTAATTGCTCCAATCGACGTTTCCTATGATATTATACGATGTTGTCTATCAATTCTTACGATAACTTCCGGAATGTTCAGTTTCTCAAAAAAATAAGTGTTACATAAACTGCGTTGGAATTTATTACTTTTTCGTACTTACATGTTAAGTACCATTAATTTCACAATAAAATACTGTTATGCCAAACGGAGCATATTTCCACTCATTAGATTTATTTTCAATAGTTGATGTATAAAATAGCCTAAAAGCTGCATGCCTCGAGATAAGCCAAAATATTTCACGAAAATCGAAAAGTAAAAGATATAAGATTCAAGTAACAATTTACATATTATGTGCGATTCGTGACTGATTTTGCAGTATTTATCACCAATGTTCAACTGCGTAACTAACGCAGTGAAGGCCATTTTTGCATATTTTGGCCTCTTTATTGTAATTAACGTGGATTGTGTCGTTTGCAGTGTGAAAATGATTTTCACTTTACAATATTTTCCTTT